AGTTAGAGCAATTCCACTCATATTGATGACTTTCAGTTCAGGCTGTGTGTGCATTGCAAGTACACCACACCCAAATGATGTGTCCTTTAAAAACCTTTCAAAAAAAGCAGCAAGTGCAATTAAGCCAGCCGTTTACATAAAACTGCACATGCAAAGATACACATCTGACTGGCAGATGTGAAGTCAAGAACACCTCCAAATCTCCTGTCAGCTGTTTTGGAAAGGGATGGTGTCAAGAGCTGTCACTGAGCAGTTTCACAATAGCGCACAGGCGCATGGGTGTTGTCCGAGCTCCACAGCTGCTCACTGACCGTTCCCGAGCGGCTCACCTCCCACAGTGCCAATTTTAGCACCTCAGAGACTGTCGTCTTGACTTGGGCCTGGAACTTTTTGCTAATCAGAACGTAGAGGATTGGATTGAGGCAGCTGTTGATGAAACCAAGGCCAGTGGAGAGGGGAATGCCATCCTGTAGTAAGTCATGCAAGTTTTCATCGTGGTGAGCAGACAGCTCCACAATGCTGAATATGTGATACGGTGTCCAGCAAACAAAAAAAGCTACAACTACAGCGATGATGGTCCAGAAAAGCCTGCTGGAAGTCAGTACAGTTCTCCTCTTCACTTTGACAATCAGCAATGAGTAGCAAATGACCATGGTCACTAGAGGAAAGAGGTAACCAAATGCAAGCCTCACCCAAATGAGAATGTGATGTGTCAGCAAAATAAGTTCTCTGTCATGCACATGGAAGTTGTTGTAGCAAATGGTGACATTGTTGAGAACTGTAGTTGTGTCTCTGAAGTATAAGGCAGGGCCACCAATAATTGCAGCTGACATCCAAATGATCCCACTAAGGATGAGGGTGTTCCTTACAGTTCGATACTTGTAGGAAAAGACTGGGTGGACTAGGCGGATGTAGCGGTCGAGGCTGATGAATGTCAGGAAGAAAACACTGGCAAACATATTAAGTAGTGCGATGAATGAGTTCATTTTGCAGAGCCACTTCCCAAAAGGCCAGTGGAAGCCCATTGCCACGTAGGTAATATAGAGCGGCAGGAAAAGAACAAAAATAAAATCTGCAATGGCCAGATTGAGGAACCAGAGTGTAGAAACAGATTTATCCCACTTAAAGCCCATAAACCAGATAACAATGGCATTACCTGGCACTCCCAGCAGAAATGCCACACTGTAAAAGGAAAGGGAAATCATATGGGCAATGCTGAGGGAGGACTGGGGTGATTCATCTTCCTCAGACAGGTCATAGAAATAAGAGTAGTTCTCAAAATCTTCAAATGTCATGTTGCGCAGTTGCTTTCTGGGAAAGAAAAGGAATGGAACAGTCAAAGGAGAAATGTTTTACTGCACTGCAAATAGTAACCTTCAATTCCTTTAAGTTCTTGGTGATAAAAAATACCAAAACATTGACTTAGTTTCACATAGCTATCACTTTTTAGCTGTCAGTTGCTAGCACAAAGCTTGTGGAGTATTTTGGTCACAGCCATTTCAATAAATGCTCAAATCAAGACAACACTTGAAATCGTCAGGAACCATTTTCCTTGCATTTATTTCTTAACAGAGAGCACTGAGCACAGTGTCACTGAAAATTTCTGGTAGATCAGCTGCAAAGTTTTACTGCAGTATGATTTTTCTATTCTTTTCTAGCTGGGTTTCAAATTTTACTGCGCTGTTCCTATTTCAAGTAAGTTTTATGGATTATATCTGTCAGAAATCACGGAAGCACCAGGCATCTATGTAGGTAAAAAAGTGCAGTTAATATGCCAGGAAGCTATTCTTCATAAATTTACCACCCACACATACACATTCAATGTATTAGATTTCCTTAATGCAGCAAAGGATGTAGAGAAGGAAATATATAGAACACATTGCAGGGACAATATATACAAATGTGGTATTCTTCCACTTGTGAGCTAAGAAACAGGTAACACATGAAAGAAAATAAAGCTTCCCAGGACAATAAGATACACTGTAATAGCTATAGATGAAAATATGTGTATCTCCTTTTTTCTTTTTTTAAGACAGAATGACGTTCTCCATTTTCTGTTCCAAAAGCTTCTGGAACTTACAAGTACAACATGATTTTTCACACAGGAATTTTCTTCTAAAACTCCAAAGGAAGAGTGTAGGAGGGAGAGAAGGGGGGGGGGGGCCGCGGGGAGGAAAATATAAACCAAAAGAAAAAAAAAAAAAAAGAAAACCAAGAATGAATGGGAAAACAGATAGCAAACAGAGGTTGAACATGAAAAAGCACTCAGAAGTTACGTGCCCATACCACAGTACAGACAAAGCTGCAGCACAGCACAGATGGCCACAGCCTGATAAAAGAATCTGCTATGGTCAAAACAAATATTCTGCAAAATTCTGTTATCATTTAAAACTATATTGTCTGGCTGGACTCAGCTGCACTAAAAACCTGTCCCTGAGAGCAGGATACAACCAGCCCATTAGCTCTACTATGGATGAGCTCGCTGGTACACTTCTGAGTGCTAGCTTAATTCAGAAACCGAAATTCAGCCCATGCTTTTGGAACCCAGCCCTGCATTCCTGTAATTCCATGAATTTTAGCACGATAAGGACAACAAGGGCAGGGTCTCCAGAGTACGCTGCCTGCAGAACCACATAGGCAAGCTTGTATCCATGTACCTACCTTTCCTTCAAAAAAGTAGTTTGCTTATTTTGAAAGGGTTACTCACACAAGTGAAGCTACTCATGTGCACACACATTAGCAAGATTAGATTCCTCATTCGTAGATGGATTGAGAAGGGAAAAAAAATTGTGCAGTTTTGATAAAAAAAAATATGTAATAAGAGTCAATACAGCCTGTTCTGTCAAGAGGCTATGATAACATTTGCCCTTTGTAATTTACATCAGGCTGAAGGAATGTTATTTGGTTTGCTGTCCTGATAAAATGATACTTATTGGGCTACATTTATGTAATTACATGCCCCTTGGGGGTAGATTCTGCATCAAATAGCAGTACCACCCATCTGAGTCATTTTTTCAAACAGCTTAACAGCTGCTGAGAAATAGTATAAACAAGGAGCAGTACCACTAACATCTGGAACAGCCTTACATTTGGACAGTTTCAGAGGACAGTCAGGCTAATAATTGGATTTTTAAGTGTCTTTACCTATATACAGAAGTATACCTTCAAATCGAATTAATGCAATTAAAAAAAAAAAAATCAATTTTTTCAGACTCTTGCTGATTGTCATCCTGTATTGCAGTTACTAATCCATTTTGCTTTTAAGTTTCTCAAGAGCCAGCACAATGCAACACTTGGATTCAAGCATTTCCTCCTTATATGTGTAATCCCCAAACTTTTTTCCTAATGGTGCTAAAAAACCATAATGACAATAACAAATATTTGCCTACTGCCCAACAATGTTAATTTTATATTTAGAATTTTGAAGATGATGTATAGCAGGAGAAAGAAAACATACCGAAATAAATACCAAATATTTACCAAGCCTCCTGTAGTTTAAAACTGAAACCATTGAAAGAGCACACCTCTAGAATACAATTGTTTTTCCAAGCTTGTATTTTTCCTTATCTCCAACTCCTAGTTTTCCAATGCATTACCTCTTTAGCAGTGGGGGCAAAAAAAGGCAGGAGGATCATTCACTACCATTGCTCCCTGTGCACAGAAGCTGAAATTAGACTCTATAGCTAGGGCTCATCAAAGACTGATGATTACATTTGCAAAGCCCTGAAGCTTTTACCTCTGAAATCCACATATATGAAGCACTTCTATAACAGGACTCCCGGTGTTACGCCCTGCCCTGAAAAAGATAAGCAGTAGGGGATTTTCAGTGGAGGTATGCTGGTTTACATCAATAAGGACACAGATTTTTTTCTTCTGCAATAACTGTTAGCTGTCATTCAGCAGGGATGTTTCTTTAGGTTCTTGAAACACATATAGTCTCAAATATGTGAGTTTGGTGTTTATTTATTAATAAACTCTCAGAGTCAGAAGCATCTTACAGTTCAAGTCTAGGTCTTGAAAGTAAGGAAATCTAACTCTATTCCTTATTCTGTCACTAATTTCCTGTATGATCTTTGACAAATGGCCTAATTTCCAGGCTGGAAAGACTCTCATGAACCTGCCTGCAAACAGAGGCTCAGTAGAGAAAACAAGACTTTTTGCCAGCAGTTTCCACTTCGCTTTCAGGCCAACTGCTAGAAAGGGTAAGGGAGGTTTGGTGCAGTTCACTGGCTCAGTCCTTGCTGGTCCGGTTTTGCAAAAAGTAGCCAGATGGAGGAAAATATTTTTCAATAAACAGGAAAGTGTGGTTAGAGGCCTGGCAACAGGACCTGGGGGCAGCCACAGGTTACAGAACAGTGTTGTACTGCATATGGGTGAATATAACCAAGTTTAGACTTCATCCTGTCTCTTTTTCTTTATAGTAAACAGCCTGTGTAAAGTGTACGCCAAGCAGTTGTTTCACTGGAGTCTGTTCCTGTTTGCTGAGGTCACAAGCAGCTCTGAAAACTGAGCCTCCTTGATTCAGTTGCTTAATTATGAATATAGTTGCTTAATTTTAAGCAAATATGTTTCAGAATGTTTGACCAGGAGGTTTCATTTCCTGTCTTCTTCTGCAGAACAGAAGTTAATTACTAAACAACTTCATAGGAATATCACAGGCTGGCACTTGGTGCTAGTACCTTTAAGATCCTGGGAGAGAAAACAGAATCAACAAGAAATACAGATTGTTAGGAAATATTTCTAAAATACAAAGCCACAGAACTGCTGGGAAGAAACTTTACCATGCGCTACATGAACTGTCTTTCTCTGAATTTCAGCAGGGAATTACAGAATCAGATCTCAATTGACATATTCATAGCTTTTTACTACAAGTACCTAGAGTTCATTTTCTCTGCCACCATTACGGCATTTCATAAAGCTGAGCCATAATGACAACTCGGACAAATGATTGTATCTGCTTAAAATAGAACAGCTTTTGTCACACTAGGAATGGCCTTATGGTTATGACATGGGACTAGTACTTTGGACTCTATTCATGGCTACGCCACATGCATCCTGTTTGACCAGGGGAAGTCGTTTGACCTCTCCACGCCTCAGCCCTGAGGTCAGTAGAACGGCTTTGGAATGAAATTACATTGGGTTTTCAATCTAAAATAAGAGAAAACAAACAAAACAGTTGCAATTTCCACTCACTTCACTTGATGCAAAGTCCTCCTGGGGGTTCAAAGTTCTCTGAGCACCATGGAAGTTAGGGTCCAACTTAATTACAATGGTAGTTTATGCCACATGTTTGGGCTACAGCCCACGCAACCTCTCTCTCACATTTGGTCCTCATTACTTTGCAAATTTACAGAGAGGTCCAAGGGAAGAGCTTATTCATTGTCTATGTTACTTAAAAGTTAACACAAATATTTGAGTGGTAGTCCCAAAATCTATTTGTTCAGTGTGATAAACAGTGCTCAGGGCCACTGGCCAGCTAAATTGATTTCAGAAGTCACAAGAGTGGGTACTGACTTAATAGGAAAATTATGGTTTGCAGAGTTGGCTGTCTTGACAGTTAACTTCATAGAGGGAATATATTACACAAACCTTCCTTTTAATGTCTTTATAAATAATTCTGAGCATACCACATTCCATGTGTATGATCTATGGCTAAAGGAAAGCTTATTTGGTTGATTCACTTCAACTTTTGTCATTTGCAAGAGTCAAATGTTGGAGAACAACTAGTTTCTCAAAAGGTCACCTAGAGCCTGCTTGTCATACTGTGTCTCAGCAAGTTTGGATGTTGAACTCATTTGAGAGCCCTCAAAAAAAATTCTTGGAACTTTTGAGGTGCTAAATTTTGAATTTATCTAGCTTCAAAAACACAAACGTGAAATTCACCCAGTAGTTTATCTGCAAAGTTCAAAACACAGAAGGCTGAGCAAGTTTGTTAGAGGTATACACATATTTCTGGCAAGTATTTTACAAAAACATAAGAAAAGATCCTAAAACTCACACGGAATACTGATGAGACTACAAACTGTCATGGACTCATATTTCTCCCTCAAAAGAACAAAGCCAAGATGACCACTTGCCTCCATACAGAAACATTCCTATAGGAGGAACTGCCTGATACACCCACATTACAAAATTAAACCATAGCTATGCTATAATTTAAGCCTAAAGCTGGCCCTGCAGACAAAGCTACTAGGAAATGAGCATTTCAAGCTGGTACACACAAAAGCAGAATCAAGGCTTGTGTGCATGTTTTCTCTTTCACAGACATACACAAACACCTATCTCTTGACTATCA